ATTGCTTATTTCTACTCATTGTAGTTGCATGGGAATACCATTTGAAAATAGTACATTCTTTAATTTTACGTAAGTTTTGAATAACTACAAGTGGCAGAAAATTGTTTTTCTGCGTTTTTATTAACATGCGTTATGAGCGCATTAAAATGGTATGAAATTCATAACCAGCGTCAGCAAGCATCAATCGTAGGAGGCTGTGATCATTGTATTTTGACAGTTCAAAACATTAAATAACTCGCGTTTTGTTGCGATAAAGAATATTGCACAGCAAGTAAAACCAACAAAATTACCTATTTGTTTAAAAATGAATCGATTTGAAAATCATACGCTATGCAAAATATGCGTGAAATTGTCTGATGTAATGATCAATCATTGCACCATGACTTACTTACTCGGATTAATAGAGGATTGTGGCTCCAACTTGAAAAACGAAAATTTGTTCCGAATTGTCCACGAATATTTGCACCTAAACTACGCAAAATTCAAAGTGCTGAATGGGAAAAAGGTGAATAAATTAGTGTCTAAATATTATATATATTTTATTAGACATAGACACATAATTCAAAGCATCCAAAGTCCTGCATTTTCGCCATTAAGAAGAAAAGAAGTGGCCGAAGAATATAGAAAACACCTTAGCATTGTAACTAAAATGTATCAAAACTAAACCTATTATGTGAACAAATAAAAACCAGTCTGTCAAAAATGGTCTGTTATTGTAAACGTCAAAAAATTTCCAGTATAATTCGCTGTTGGGTACCCCACGAGAAAAAAATTTCCACTAAAATACCTCCGTTGTCATGGTGATCTGTCAAAAACACGTATTTTGATTGGTTCAAAATTACAGGTGTGGAATTTTCGTTAATATATTTAACGCATTGACTTAAAATTTTGAATGGTTATATTTTTGGACTAGTAAATTATAAGCATGTTATCAATTTTGAGATTAGATAAAGAGAGAACCATCTACACTCTACTGGATTATTTTTATATATCTAGGAATTTCTAAAAAAATTTCAAGTTTGAACATAAAAACGTATACTACTTGTTTTAATAGCATAAATTTGCATTCTAGCCATCAGTATCTACCTATTTAGTATAATATTTTGAAAAAGTAGACTTGAAAATGAAAATTAAAAATGTGATGTGTCCTATCTAGTTATTACAGGCTTTTTCCGGTTATTTTGTACAACCTATTGCACCACCTCTATAAATGTTTAGAGGTTAAACTAAATAAAAAAAAATAAAATCCAATAGGAAATAAAATGTAAATAAACAAGAAATGTGTCACTGAATCTGCTCACTGTACAAAGTACAATGACAGATTGTGTGTGACAAAAAATACGACAAAATAAAATAAATAAAACTTATAACAATACAATAGTAAAAATTTAAAAATATGAAGCAATTAAAATACAAATTATTAATATAAATAAAAGTTATATAAGTACAATCTTTACACTTTGATAATAAGTAAAATTTATTTCCAATATACCTCGGCATAAGTATCTCATACAACGAACATAACTTCTACATAGACAAAGAACATTTTTAAAATATTCAGATTCTTTAACGTTTATAATATACTTTCTAATTATTTAATTTCTATTTTTTTTTATTCGATTATATTACGGAAAAAAGTTCGCGGTGTTTTTGTTATAAATTCTTTTACACATCTTTTAAATTTTTTTACTGTTTTTATTTCTCGAAGCTCCGTTGGAATGTTATTAAAGATTTTTGGTCCCAAAAACCGATAGCTATTTTGTCCAATTGATTTATTCGTTCGTGGTAGCAAATAATTGTCTCTATTTCTTGTATCATATTGATGCAACGGTGTTTGCAGATCATCTTGATTTTGAAATTGATGGGTGAGTGCTGCTTGACAGAATAACTGTCGTAAGTCAAATATCTGGGTTTCTTGATACACATTTTCAGTAGAATATCTTCTATTTTTGTTTAGCATTATTTTTAAAAAACTTTTTTGAATGATCTCGATTGGCTTTAAGTGCGTTTTAGTGACTCCACCCCAACCAATTATTCCATAGTTGAGATGAGATTCGAAAAGGCTATGATACAAAATTCTCTTCTGTGGTAATTCTAGCATTGGTGATATTTGTATGAATTTAAATAAGACACTACGTAATTTGTTTAGTAAGTATTGAGTATGTTTGTCCCAGCGCAAGTGGCTATCTACTATTATCCCTAAATATTTAGTTTTATTTTCAGGTAGTATATATGTGTCGATCTCGATAGCGATATTTTGAAATTGAGGAAGACCAGAGGCTAGACTGCAAAAAGGTAGGTACACTGTTTTTTTAAAATTTATAGATAGTAATCGGTAGTCAAACCATGTTTTTATTTTGGGGAAATCCTTCTCTACCAATGTTTTCAAGTTATTCCAGTCAGTAGCTTCGTAATGCATTACTGTGTCATCTGCAAAGCTAATAATATTTGCTTTACTTTCCACTAAAAAGAGATTGTTCAGGTAGACTATAAAGAGTAGAGGCCCTAATACTGTTCCCTGAGGTACACCACATGAGACTATTTGATCGATGCTGGCAATATTTTGGTTTTCTGTTTGTTAAGTAAGACTTCATTAATTTATTGGCTATACCCCTTATACCTATATCTTCAAGGGAATTTAATAAATGACAATGATTGACGGTGTCGAAAGCTTTAGCCAAGTCTAAAAAGATTCCTATTGATGGTTTTTTATTGTCAATTGAACAGTAAATTTTATTAGTTAGTTCCCTTATTGCGTCTTCCGTTGAACTTCCCTCCCTAAATCCATATATACATTTTCCACATACATCTAACTCGAAACATTTTTCTACATATATTCATTTAAAACGATAATACTGAAAAATTAAAATTTAACATTTTTCCTCCAATTTTTCCATTACTGCCCATTTTAGAAAAATCATGTAAAAACAAAAATTATAGAGATGGATATCGCAAATAACTTTTAGTTCAACAATTTTCTTAAAAATCAGAATTTTGCACATTTTGTCAAATTTCTCGAATACGGACCATTTAAGGAAAATTTTAGATAAGACAAAAATTATAGAGAATAATATAGGAAGTAACTTTTATTTGAACAATTTTCTTCTCTAAACATAAATAACAGATACATTCCATAAAATATAAAAACGACCTCCTATAAAGTACCTACCCCCAGATGTTCCGACTTTATCCAAAATCTAATTATTTTACCTCAGGCCGAAATAAAACTTAAGTTTAAAATTTAATATTTTTAACATTATCCGTTTTTGAGTTTTTTTTTTTTAAATTCGTAATTTATACATTTTCTCCAATATCTCGAATACGGTCCATTTTAGAGAAATTATGTATAGGGTAAAAATTATAGAGAATTATATTACAAACAACTTTTATTTGAACAATTTTTATAAAAAAACTATTTGTTTTTACATTTTGTCAAATTTCTCGAATACGGACCATTTTAGGAAAATTTTGTATATAACAAAAAATATAGATAATAGTAACTTTTATTTGAAGATTTTTTCTCCAAACGTAAATAACAGATATATTCCATAAAATATAAAAATTACCACCTATAAAGTATCCCCCCTAATTTTCCGACTCTGTCCAAAATCTAATCAATTCACTGGAGGTCGGAATAAAGCTTAAGTTTAAAATTTGGTGTATTTATTTGTATCCGTTCATGAATTATTGAGGATACATACATCATCGCGAAAATAGTCAAAATGGATTCAGAGGACCCCAAAACGTAAAAAACCGTCGAAAAAATCATGATTCCTATACTTTCCTTATCTGTATACAGATAGGAAAGTAAAAATGCACAGTTGTCAAATAATGAATTATACGTTTTTTTCAAATTTACGATAAAGACTTGAAATGTTTTTAGAAATGCCAACTGAGGTAGGTGGGCGATCTCTTTATCTAATCTCAAAATTGATAACAGCCTTCTATGATTTGCTAGTCCAAAAATATAACTAGGTAGGTACCTATACCAAATTTCAAGTCAATACCTACGTAAAATAAATTTTAACTTTAACACCCTGTATCCAAAAGTACAAAACATTTGACCACTCATTTATTTAGCAAAATATTTTATTACATCCAAAATTACTTGTGAGATACAACTTACTAGAAAATTAATTTTTTTGTAACAAAATTATAAATAAAAAGATTCATCATTCACTGTTCATTTATATAATTTTTGCAAATTGTTTATACGTAGCCATTATCTTCTAAAAACCTTGCTCTTTTTCTTAAACTACCCATGACTAAAAAAAAACTTCCATCTTCGGAATGAACAACATTTAATTTTCCACGTAATTTTTTTAGTCATCGTCTACTTTTAAACCATTATACCATAAAATGTGAACTTGGCAACGGCGCCAGTTCCCCAACACTTCATATTTTATGTTGATTCAGTCGCAGTTGGCCGGCCCCTTGTATATCGCCTATGAGTTATCGTTATCGACGATACGGCGACTATCAAGTCGGCCTTGGTGGATTCGACATGCTCGCGCCATCTTTCGCCGCATCTCGTGACTAGCGAATCGAATAATGGGCTTGTACGGTTTTGGAAAATTGAGTAATGGGGTTGTTCGTTATTGAAAGTTGCTTTTTTTTGAAATAATTTTGTTTTTAGATATTATTTAATGAAAAAATAGAATACAGTGTGGATATTTGACATAGATTATTTGTAAAATAGTAAAATTTTGATATTTCAGCCTATTTCTTGGATTAAAAAAATTAAAAAAGTATAAAAAACGACCCAAAAATAATTTTCTTTAAGATAAAAATATAATATTAGTGAGATTTATTATTCAGATCTATATAATAATTACATATTAACACTTTCTCTCATTAAACAGTATTATATTACCAATACAACAAAAAATCATATAAAGTATACAAAAACGTACACACCAAAAATGTTTAATTAGTAAATTCTTTCACTCTAACATAAAGAACAAAACGTTATTGCACCTAAAAACAGTTAACTTTTTCAAAAAATTAATCCGTAGCTTCTTTCTGACTCGTTTTCTGATCGGGTTTGTTCGATTTCAAAAGATGATTTCCCAAAAAATACAATCCGAAATACAAAATCGGTATGCAGTGATATACAGAATTGTAGTACCGTATAATTTTGTTAATTTCCAATAACACGAACGATATACTCTGGTAGGAAAACATCTGCATTTTCATAAACAGCATGAAACCGTTCGCAATGGTTTTAGGCTAAAAATAAAAACAACAATCAAGTTTTTCAAAAATATTGCGACTAATCACTCACCGCGCCTGCATTGTTTTTCAGCAACAATTTAACCCACACGTCTTCCCACATAAGAGCAAACGGCACGGTTGCTATACAGAAGTAGTAACCAGCGTACATTCCATGCCACACTGCAGACATCAACATCGTTACCCCTACTCTGAACTTTTTGTAAGGGAACCTTCTGCAAAAAAGATAAAAGTAAACGGTTATCATCAGTTACCCTTTCGGCGAAAACTTACAGCAAATCATTTTAAATGTCATAAAAGTCGCGTCAAATGTCAAGTTAAACAACATTAGATCTGCTCTGACCTCTGAGCAATTACTACTAGAGGAAGCCTTCTCCCTTTCCTCGTGCTAAATTTTGTAAGCAACATCTACTCCCACCGAGGGGAGAAATTGGGGAAATCCCTCTCCTGTAATTGGCTTATTTAATCAGCGTTGCCAAGTTCGACAGCGCCAGTTCTGACACATGTCAATTTTTCACCCCTACAAACTACAGATTGTTCAGCAATTAAAGGAAAAAGATTTTGAAACTCGTGAGGATTTCGCTATGAGAATGCAACTGACTTTGGAAGACAATTTAGGTCTGCAGCTTGTAATGAGCGACAAAGCTCATTTTCATTTAGATGGATCAGTTAATAAACAGAACTTCAGGTACTGGGCTCCTGAAAATCCACGAAATATCCATGAACGACCACTTCATTCTTCAAAAGTCACAGTGTGGTGTGCCATCGGTTCTAACTGCATTATTGATCCCTATTTTTTCGAAGAGACCGGGCGTACCATCACCGTTAATTCTAACCGCCACGTTCAAATGAACCAAAATTTTGTTATGCCAGAACTACGCAGAAAACACATAAATCCAAGGAATGTGTGGTTTCATCAAGATGGTGCCACGGCACATACTGCCAACGCATCAATGAATATTGTCCGCAACATGTTCCCAGAAAAACTGATTTCGCGTTTTGAAGATGTGCCGTGGCTCCCAAGGTCTCCAGATCTGTCAATTTGTGATTTTTTCCTGTGGATGTATTTGAAGAATCGAGTGTATGCTCACAAGCCCGATAATTTGGACGACTTGAAGAATACCATCTCGTCAGTAAATCATGATTATTGATCGAGCGATGTTGGAGCGTGTTATGGACGATTTCTGGAAAAGGGTCGAAAACTGCATCCAACGCGACGGATACCATCTTCGTAAATGGCATTGTATAAGCTTCACTATGGTGTAAATAAAACCTTATTATCTTGCAAATTCTTTGTGCAACACGTATTAAAAAAAAGTTCTAACTATTCTCAACACGTTGAACAACTAATGAGTCACTTTCAAACCCTTGGATGTAACATGAGCATCAAGTTGCACTTTCTTCACAACCACCTAGATTATTTTCCCGCTAATCTTGGGGATCTAAGTGAAAAACAGGGCGATCGATTCCACCAGGACCTTCGTACGATGAAGGAACGGTATCAAGGCTACTGGAACGCACACATCATGGCTGACTATTGTTGGAGCATTCAGAACAGTTTTATGGGTTCAACCTCTGCAAGAAAGTCTTATAAAAGAAAGTTTTTTTTTACCTTAAGAACTAAATAAAATATGATTAATTTTAAACAAATTGTGTTTTACTATGAAACGGCCATGTGTCATATTTTTTAAACTAGAGCTATTACAGAAATTTAGATTACAGAGTTGAAGTCTTCATTAAAAATTAAGCTAGTGTCATGTAATATATCTCAATCATCAGAAATGCTGTTGAGCAATGTTATCAGACTAATTTGTTATCCCGAGCAATTTGAATGCATTCGTAATTGCTCATTTTAACCTCTTTTCTTGTAGATTCCGTACCCATTTTTCTCATTTTTAATTAAGTTTGCACTGCTCTTTTATTTTTTCTTTTCCACATATTTAATTCTACAATACTGTAATGCTACAATAGGGATCCATTTTTGTGATTTATACTATTTAATTTTAATCGTAAGTGACCAACCTTTTCTTATATTGTTTCTATTAAAATAATTAAGGATTATTGTATTACAGGCCTGAAGATGTCCCTGTGAAGCCTAAATTAGTATCTCCTATATTTATTTATAATAAAAATTGATGTATTGATTTTGAGGTTTTATTCGTTAATTGAAACAAGTATTAGAAATTAAAAATTAAAAAAAAACCGACTTCAAAAACGTGCAGATGCCATCACCACATCTTAACCAAATTTATATGGGACCACCCCTGAGGTACCCCCTCACTAACAAAAAAAGAATCATATAAATCGGACAAGGTGGTAAAGCATTATCGCTAAACATACAAAAAAAATGAAGAGTTTGAGGATTTTCTCATGGACCCAATTATTGAAATCGGACACCGTGTTAAAGAATTATCGCTGAAAAATATCGCGACGAATTGATAACCTCCCTCCTCCTTTTTTTGAAGTCGGTTAAAAATTAGACCTTTACAGTGATTTTTCATTTCCTGCAACAGACATATAAGACGGTATATACAGGGTGTCTGTAAAAGGTCTCTACAAAAACATACCACATATTCCTTAGACCAAAATAAGTCGATTTAAGTAAAATTACCTTAGTACAAAGTTGCTTCGTTTGGGCTCCAGAGGGCCTTGAAGTTGCAATTTTTAAATCGTTTTTCCCATATAAATTTAAAACGGCATATGCGCTTTTGCTGAAATTTGGTATATTGGTAGAGTTTTATGTGGCAAAAAAATGGTATTAAAATTTTGTCCGATAATAATACATAGGCGTAGAAGTTCTAATTGCTAATTGCTCAAAAACTAGTTTTCATAACATACCCCCTTCATCCACTTACCCCTTCAATTAAAAAGTTTGGACAATGTGTTACAGAGAAATGATATGCCACTGAACAAGAGGGTTGTTTACCTTCCTCACTTCCTCTACAGATGTTACGAACACAACAATCACCTACAAACTCTTTTCACGCTCCCTCTAGTAGTAATTGCTCGGAGTTTCCAATAGATTCTGCCCAGGACATTATTGAGACCACCTAAGGCATTTCTTTATAAGCTTACCACGACATACTTCGTAACAGCGTTGTGGTTACTCTGATGACGTCAGACATACCGTGGTAACTCGTAGCACTTATCGTTGTCACATGTCAAATTGGGGAATTGTTTACTTTGTTTTTGTTCAGATAAATAAAAGTGTTTTTGTCACAGACGTCATTTGGTTTTCGTTCTTTTGTTATTTATTTAAATATGTCTCCTCCAACAAAAGGAAGAAAAAAAATTAATAAATGTTATTTGTGATGAAATAACAATGATAAATACTTGTGCCAGTAGTCTCATATTTTCATCTTTATATTTCAATATAAATAACAGTATCCAGTTGTCATCAACATCGCTCTCGTGAAGAGTTATTTCAGTGCCCTGTATTTCAAATGTAATTTCTTTCATAGTAAATAGAGTTTTCTTTGGTAAATACAAAAATGCCCAACCCAAATATACAAAATGAACCATATAACCCGTAACCACAGAAAAATGTATCTAATTTAATCTCTTTACAATACTTTGCGCATGCTCGATATGTTCAAATGTGGACCTTACCACACACCTTACCACTAAAAACATCATGATTAGTAGTAGTTACGTATTTTGGTAACGTATGACGTCATGAAAGTAACCAAACCGTTTAAAGAATTGCTTTGGTTACATAAGTATGTTCTAGTAAGTTATGGTAAGCTTATAAAGAAATGCCTCTAATTATCTACTGCGCAGTGAAGGATCGTTGTTGGAACAGACCTATTATAAGGTGCTCAAAGCGGCCCTTGGGACACTAACTAGTCCAATTCTAATGAGCTTGGAAACGACATTTGGATTATTTTTTTATAAAAAGGAACAGTTTCCACAGTAAATTTAGTATCTCTAGCATTTATAGTTACTTCACAATTAATTATCAAAGTTCGAATAACTAGACCAAGCCCCCCGTTTTTCTTGTAGCAGTACACTACGTCATCGGCGCCGATCTTAGAGAGTTAGGTTTATTTAGTAAATAGTATTACGCCTTTGGTCTTGTTTGTGTTTTACGAAATGTCTGCTCAAAGTATCCGGTATAAATATTGTATTGTACCGAAATGTACAAATACGTTAATAACTACATCTAATAAAGAACTCATTAGTGTGCTAAAGGGAGAGAAAATACGGAAACAATGGTGTAATGTAATCGGTTATGTTGTGAAGATCATTTTGAAGTAAGTTAATTTTAAATTAAGGTACCTATCACTACTTATAAGTTCGATAATACGAATTATATCGACTTGAAATAAACGCCATTGTTCTTGTAAAATTAAGTTGTATTTATTTTTGATTGTGATTATTTTTTCCAAGTCCATTGGCTGTGATCCTATTACCGAAACGTTCTTAAACTCAAAATTCCATACTAACTTGTAGATGTAAGTTGCTAACCAATATTGCACTGTAATATTCCAATGTTTCATAGCTTCACGCATTGTAGGCACACAATCAGACTCATATGGATTAATAGATTGCACAGTTTCGTAGTTGTACTCAAGTGCTTTCAATATTTCAGGGTCGGTTCTAAAAAATAATTAGAATTAGGCTGGATATAACGCAAAAATAGACACGCTTTACGTTTCTTTGAGTTGTTTAAATTGTTGGGTAGGTCCGTGACCAGATTTGGGTTTTGAAAATACCGGATACACTCCCATACCGCCCAAAACGCATACGATTTCTGTTAATACTAATCCTAAGTATATCCTGCTTCTAAATATTAGAAATGACGGCCACACATACCAATAGCGATATAAAAATGATCTTTCCAAGAAATCGTTGGTGTTTACGTACTAAAAAATAATTTGTTTCAAAAATAATGTAATATAACAGTAGTCTGAAGCTGCTGACTCACTGCTAAAGGCCAGTAATAGCCGGTAAACACATGAATGCCCGCTAAAATCGGTACCCAATACAATTTTTTCTTAATTGCAGGCATAAAATCGTCATAATTATTATAGGGCTTATGTAAATGATCCAAATATGTTCTGTATCTAAAATAAGGCCCTAAAACAAACATACAAAAATAAAAATTACAAAAAAAATATAGAAAATCATTTAAAAAACAAACACGAACACTTGATCGACAGGAAATAGATAATTTTAAAATGATAAAATATCAATAAAAATAATAAGGAATGATGAACAGATGAAAAGACGTACCCAGAATATCCAAATTTAATAAATTTTCACTTCATTGCATTCTTGTAAGAGAACTAAATAAGCCATAATTAGTTCTGTGAAAGGAGATGATGAATAAATAATTTTGATGAGTATATCTTACTGGTAGGTACTCTAAATTGAACGGATTCTAAAAGTTCGTAACAATGAAAGGATCTTGAAATTACTTTAAGCAAAAATAATAAATCTACTGTACCCCTTCGAGATTCTAGACATGGGGTAGAAATGTCGCATACCAAATTAGTATGGTTGTTAAAAATACATATTTAGGGGTGCGTTTAAACCTATGACGCAGGGGTTTTAGAAAACTGAAATTTTCAGTGAATGTAGTCGTGAAGTACCTGATTAAATCCCAAATAACCAGAATATAGCACAAATAATTTTCTCGTAAAAAATAATACATATTTAGAGGTGCGTTTAAACCTATGACGCAGGGGTTTTAGAAAACTGAAATTTTCAGTGAATGTAGTGGTGAACTACCTGATTAAATCCCACTTAGTCAGAATGTGGTACAAATTGCCGTTTCCTCAAAAAAATAATAATCTTTTAGGGGTGCTTTTTAACCTATGACGCCGGGGTTTTAGAAAACCCCAGGGGTAGTAGTCTCGAATGTCAAATACCTCGATTCGCATGCAAGATTAATGAAATGTCGAATAACAACTAGGTGGTTTTAAAAAAATGTATCCTCGAAAACAGGATACGATAAATGTCAGGTGAATTCAACACGAGTGGTCTAAAGTGTTCGAATTTAAATTCGTATGCGACTTTATAGACCGTAAAAATATGGATGAGGCAGATTTTGATAAAATTAACATTTTGTGGCTATGTTGAAAATCAAAACATTATTAAAGAGTTATTAAGAAGTTTATTTATAAAAATCCATTTGGAATTAACGATGTGTTATAGCGCTTATAATGTCGAAAATTCTTGATAAATAACACTATAACACATCGTTAATTCCTAATGGATTTTTATAAATAAACTTCTTCCTTCTATGCTGTCACTCTTTAATAATGTTTTGATTTTCAACAGCCAACAGATGTTAATTTTATCAAAATCTGCCTCATCCATATTTACGGTCCATAAAGTCGCATACGAATTTAAATTCGAGCACTTTAGACCACTCGTGTTGAATTCACCTGACATTTGTCGTATCCTGTTTTCGAGGATTCGAAGTCGAGGATACACTTTTTTAAAATCACCTAGTTGCTATTCGACATTTCACTAATCTTGCATGCGAATCGAGGTATTTTTAGACCTCGAGAATTTTACCCCAGGTCTGCATAACTGAGATTTTCAAAAACCGTAAGGGTACGAAGGCCAAGAGAGCCCTGAGCTTATAAATTTATAAAGCAGATCGAGGTGGTCTGTTCAGATTCTAAAAAAACAGGTCCTCACCTTATAATTTTATAAACCAAGTCCTTCTGTCGAACTTCTAAAAAAAAGTCATCAGCTTATAATGGACCAGGTCCTTCTATCGAGCTTCTAAAATCCTAAAAACGACAACTGATACTTTGTTACTGAAAAATGTATAGTGTGACGTAGGCGGACTAAACTGTTCAACGCACAAAGGGCCAAGAAAACGTCAATGGCGGACCGGATGTTGTGCAGGCCTGTTCTAGACACTCAAGTCCAATTAGAGTTTTCTCAACTTTCTTCCTGGCTAGGAAGTTTGCTTTCTGGTTTTCCAACACTCCTTCATATCCCGGCACCCATTCAAGAGTGACCTTGTTATGTTTTTCCAGGGTCTGGAGGGAATGTTGACTTGTACTTCTACCTTTTTCAGTACTTTAATAGCAGCCTGACTGTAATAATAAAGGCCCTCTCGTCTCTAAGATTGTATACCAGATTGAGGTTCATTTCTCTGATAAAAGCATGCTTTTTTACTTTCCAGTCTGTATACAGAAGAACAGAATCATGATTTTTGACGGATTTTTACGTTTTGGGGTCCCCTGAAACGGTTTTGACTATTTTCGCAATGATGTCTGTATGTGTATCTGTATCCAAGATAACTCAAAATACGGATAAAGATGAAACACCAAATTATATTTTGGGATAGACAGAACATCTGGAGGAAGAAGGGAAGGGGGTTACTTTAAGCAATTACGATCACTTTTAAAGGAGAAAATTCTTCAAATAAAAGTTGTTTGCAGTATCATAATTTTATGCATGATTTTTCTAAAATGTACCACAGTGGAAAAATTTTAATTTTTCCGTTTTTTCGTTGGCAATGAATATACAGGGTGTCCTTTAAAATGTGTCCCAAAATTCTCAGGCAGATTCCTTAACCAAAAAATGGAAAAAAAGTTCCTATAGACCTATGTCCTAAAGTGCCCCCTAAGCGAGCAACAACCTCTCGAAATCATTTTTTTTATTTTGATTTTTTGAATTTTCTTAAAAATGGAAACAAATAAAAGAACCAAATTTTGGCTGTTAAATATGATCAATAATAGTGACCTTTTGACACCTTCAAAAAGAAATTATTTCGTCAGGGGTGTACTTGGGAATTTTTTGAAAATTTTGATTATTCATAACTTTTTTGTGTTTTTGGTAATGACTTATCCATATTTTTTTTTACATTCTACATTAAAAACTACGTCAAAAAGGAATACTTGTTTCATCTCGATTGGAGCAGCCGTTTCCGAGAAAACATCATCCAAAGATATTCGTGCAGTTTAGGTTAATTTTCAATTTTGGCTGTTGTAGCCAAAAAGTTGGAAATCGAGGAACACGGCTTACATGTCCCTATCCTTACTTTTGAAGGTCTATTCAGTGGCAAAAAATATTAGTTGATACAGGGTGATCAAAAATCGGATGTGATTTTGGATTTTTGATCACCCTGTATCAAATAATATGTATTTTATGTCACTGAATAGACCTTCAAAAGTAAGGATAGGGACATGTAAGCCGTGTTCCTCGATTTCCAACTGTTTGGCTACAACAGCCACCTGAATTTGAAAAAATGTGATTTTTGAGTAGCTGTAGATCCTTTACTATTCATATTAGATAACAAGTGTGATATATCATTGAAATCAGATTATCGAGCAGATTCTAAAAATATAAAAATATACAGGGTGTTCCATTTAAAAAACATAACTTTGATTTGGCACGGCCTTATGAAACACCCTGTCACATCGTAACTAATTTTAAAATGTGAAGCTTAAAGCTGCCTACTTTTATTATAACAGATCTACAGAGCTTCCTCACACTAATCAATCACCCTGTATACTATTTTTAGCTCTCTAAATAAAATTTAAAAATTTAGTTCCCATTTATTTATTATGAAGATCATAAGGTTTGTATTTAGCTGTTTAGAATAAAAAAGTAAAAATATGTATTTTTTTGGCGTTTTTGTGTTTCATGGATAATTTTTTTCGCTCACTGATAAAAATGTTTCTTCAGTTAAACATTATTTCTAAAAGTGTTCTGGTGCGATTCGTTGTATTGTTATTATTTTGTTTAAAATGGCTCACAATAACTACAATAATGATTACACATTCGGCGAAATGACGGACATGCACTTATGTTTTGGACTCGCTTCTGGAAATGCCAATGAAGCTCGCAGACTTTATCAGGAGCGCTTTCCAAATAGGCATCTTCCATGCGCTAAGACGTTTTCTAGAATTGACGATAGACTTCGGGAAACTGGTACATTTAAGAAAAACTCTAGTAACAGTGGAAGACAAAATTATGTGAGAACTCCTGCTTTGGAAGAAGCAATTTTGGATAGGGTAGCTGAAACCCCATCGACAAGTACCAGAAAAATAGCAAATGGTAAGTAATTACTTATTTATTATTTTAGCTACCCCGTACCTTATCGTATAAAACTAGTTTTTTTACTTGTTATTGCTTCTCTTACATTTCACGACTTTTCGTATCGAAAAGAGTTGCGTTATGCAGAAAAAATCTGATTTCCCAAATCAATGGATTCTCTTTCTTAACTATTCACTACACAGATTCTCTCATTTAATTTCAGAAGTGGGAGTCGGACGTAACACGGTATGGAAAGTTTTGCGTGAACAACAATTGTACCCTTACCACATTCAAAAAGTTCAGGCACTTAAAGCTACTGATTATGAGCCGCGAGTTATCTTTTCTGAATGGTTTCTTGGAAGATGTAATCAAGATGCAATGTTTCTTAATAAAGTGCTATTTACCGATGAAGCTGGTTTCACTAGAGATGGTATAATAAATTTTCGAAATATGCATGAATGGGCTGAAGATAACCCTCACGCGGTTGTTGAACGTCACCACCAGGATAAATTTTCAATAAACGTCTGGGCTGGAGTTATTGATAATTACCTTATTGGACCATTTGTTTTGCCGAATAGGTTAAATGGAGCAGCATACAGGCTTTTTTTGGAAAATAACTTACATGAGCTTCTTGATAATATTCCGATTCAAATCAGACATAACATGTGGTTTATGCATGATGGAGCTCCACCACATTACAGCCTTGAAGCTAGACAGCACCTTAACGAAAGATTTGAGGGTAGAGTAATTGGCAGAGGTTGTCCTGTTAACTGGCCACCTCGTTCACCAGATCTAAATCCAATGGATTTTTTTGTTTGGGGTTATTTAAAATCATTGGTTTATTCCAGTCCTGTTGAAACAGTTGAAGAATTGGAAGAACGAGTTTTTCATCATTGCGAAGTTCTTAGGAATAATCCTGAAGTATTTTTTCGTGTAACAAGTTAATCGAAGGTTAGACAAGTATTAAAAAGAATTTTAAAAAAACAACTTCAAAATCGTGCAGAAACCATCATCACATTTTGACCAAATGTATATGGAACCACCACTGAGGCACCTCCTTACTAACAAAAAAGAATCATAGAAATAGGACAAAATGTTAAAGAATTATCGCTAAACATACATGAAAAATGAAGAGTTTGAGAATTTTCTTATGGACCCAATTATTATATTTTGACCAAATTTATATTGGACCACCTCTGAGGGATCCCCTTACTAACAAAAAAAGAATCATTGAAATCGGACACCCTGTTAAAGAATTATCGTTGAACATACATAAAAAAAATATATATTCCAATTAATTGAGAACCTCCTCTTTTTTAAAGTCGGTTAAAAAGAAAAAAAAACATCTAGTAAAACATTAGCATTAAAGCTCGGTATTAAGTAATTGAGTTTTGAATGATGAAAAGGGAATATTGAACAGCCTGTGATCATTGTAAAAGTTAGCTGATTTATTTACTGTTTGAGATATTCGTATGTGGTTCATTTACCATTTGAGGAATTTGTCATAATATGTTTAAGTGTTTCATTTACTGTTTAAGGTAGAGTCCAATTACAATTAGAAGAACACAGCTATGTCATCATTTGGCAAAGTAATTAATTGGTTATCGTCGCCTACTGTTAATATTATAGGAGTTATAAGAAATATTGTTTTATAAATAATAATTGTCATTTATTGAACTGAAAATTCAGTCCAATAGGCTATCGACCGAAGTCCTTCTGCCTATATTGTTTTATACCTAACAACTTACTTATTTTTGTTTATTGATACTTAGTTATAATAATCTTTTATTCAGCATTATGGTGTACATACATATACATTAAAAATACACTTTTATTAGTACAATAATTATTTATGCAAGGGATAATGTTATATGTAGATAACCTGGTAGCCTATTTATGACCTAACGGTTGCACATAGGCTGCCAAATTATTTACTTCTACTATACATGATTTAAATATATAGTGCATTAATGTTAATTAAATAGAAAGATTTTAAAAATAGATAGATATAATAGAATATGTGACTTAAATAATTATTAAAATTAATATGAACTAATTAGGTTCTTTTATAATATATGACTCTTCATATATAAAAATCACAATTTTTTTTAGTAAAATGTTAAAAAATATATATAAAATGTTAATGAATACATAAAATGTTAAAAAAATACATAAAATGTTAAAAAATATATAAAATGTTAAAAAAATACATAAAATGTTAAAAAATACATAAAATAGTTTTATCACATTTTGCTGACGTACCCACATATTATTCAATCAATGCTCTCAAAGTTTTTCTGTCTGCATTTACAATATATTGTCTTATTAAAGTTTTGATCAGTTGAAATGAGTTTATTGTAAGCAAATATATTGTGTACATTTCGTGAAGGAAATTAAATATTTTTCCACTTAAATATAAAAAAAAATCTTTGTGAAGTTGACTTAGGGTGAGATTACAGAACGTCTGCAACTTTGCAAATATGGCGGACTTACAAATGCAAGTATTCCAAAAATATCTGCAAATTCGCAATATTTATTGTGGTTTATTACCCTCAACAACACTAAACCCAAATTTGGAATACTAAAACTTGATACTTGCATGTGTAAGTCAGTCATATTTGCAGATTTTCAAAGTTGCCGCCATATTTGCAGATCTGCAAAGTTGCAGACGTTCTGTAATCTCACCCTTTATTAACAAGGTGAGTATATACCGTTCCTGTATTTTTACCTCTTGTTTAATAGTTAAAGGTCTTTTTTGGAAAATATCTTTGCTTGTAAGTGTACATTAAAACTGCATAAATATATAACTGTCTGATATCCATAATTTTGACTTCATCATATAGTAAAGGACCCCGCACAAAAAGATAGGAAATGCCCTCTCGGTCAAATTGTCTGAAATTTTGATATGTTATACATTTTGTCATCCTAAACAAAAGTCTCAAAGGGCACTAAGTTCCAAAGTCCATGGTTTGGCTCCTATGGAGCTCCGAAGCTCCGTGACTCCACCATAGTATAGAAACCTCTAAAACGCATGTCACCGTTTTGAAAATCATATTTTAATTATTTTAATGTATGCCCTTAAGTTTTTGAGGATGCTGAATTGAAATATGATGTCAAATCCATAATATTGGCAATGGACAGCTGTCAAATGCTTTAAAACAAGAGAAATCTTATATTATTGATTTGACATCTTATTTGAATTCAGCGTCCTCAAAAACATATGATAACATTCTTTACTATAAGATTTGTTTTTCTTAGAAACGTTTGACAGCTATTTGACAGCTGTCAATTGTCAATATTATCGATTTGACCTCTTATTTGAATTCAGCATCCTTAAAAACATATGATAACATCCTTTAATATGAGATTTCTTTTTTTAGCATTTGACAGCTGTCAATATTATCGATTTGACATCTTATTTGAATTCAGCGTCCTCAGAAACATATGATAACATTCTTTAATATAAGATTTGTTTTTCTTTGAAGCGTTTGAGAGCTATTTGACAGCTGTCAATATTATCGATTTGACATCTTATTTGAATTCAGCATCCTCAAAAACATATAACATTCTTTAACATAAGATTTGCTTTTCTTTGAAGCATTTGACAGCTATTTGACAGCTGTCAACTGTCAATATTATCGATTTGACATCATATTCAAATTCAGCATCCTCAAAAACTTAAGGGCATACATTAAAATATGATTTTCAAAAAGGTGACATGCGTTTTAGAGGTTTCTATACTATGGTGGAGTCACGGAGCTTCGGAGCTCCATAGGAGCCAAACCATGGACTTTGGAGCTTAGTGCCCATTGAGACTTTTGTTCAGGATGACAAAATGTATAACATATCAAAAATTCAGACAATTTGACCGAGAGTGCATTTCCTAACTTTTTGTGCGGGGTCCTTTATTGGATACCTAATTTTTTTACTGTATATGATTTTAAGTACTCTTTTTTGAAGTATCTCCAGTTTATTCAGATAATTTTTTGTGGTAGCCCCCCAACAGCTAATGGAATATTGAAGTCTGCTTTGAAAAAGTGCATAGTAAATAATTTTAAGATGAGTAATGCTTAATATATTTTTAAGGAATTTAAATTTGAAGAGCAATATTCTTAAGGTATTGGTTAGATTATTTACATGTTTATCCCATCGTAAGTGGCAGGTCTAGAGTAACACCTAAGTATTTAATTTTATTTTGTTTTTGTAAGGTAATTTCCTGATTGTTATCATTGATACTAATTTTATTATAATCTAGTAGCTTGCAAAAGGCAAAAAAATGATTTATTGTAGTTTATAGTAAGCTTTTTATGAGTGTACCAATCTATAATTTTTTTAAATCATTTTCTGTTTTATGTTTTAATTCTTCCCAGGTATCTGCTTCGAAAAAAAATAGATAATATGTATTTGAAATTCGAAGTAATGGTTATCCACTCGTTTCCTAAATAATTTAAACCCTTGAATCGTTTTATTGCTAAATTCGTTACAATCCTTTTTTAGTACATACCTGTCAGTACACCACAATAGTTGAAAACGTAGCAAAACACATCCGTAAATCCTAATTCAAACTGCTGCGTTTCGTCCTCTAATTGTTGTTCTTCAGTCTTAATAGCGTCATCTTTCTTTTTCTTCGATTCAAATGAAGTGTTTACTTCAAATGCCAGTCCCACAAGTTTTAAAGTGAGCATCATTTGTACGAGGTTAGTGTGGGAAGGGGCGTAAGGGATACCGAAATATATGGTTGAACGGAAGAAAAACAGGTAAAGAAACGAAAATGCAAAGGAATAAACGTGACATTTTCTAGAAAATAATGTTTACTACTTAAAATTCAATGACATAACCTCAAATTTGCGAACTTACCTTTTATCTATAAACAAAATTATGCATGCATTTATTAGGGTTGTTATCAAGATATGTAAAATATGGAAGCCTGAAACTATGAATGCGATAACAAAACCTAATCCGGCTCCTAGAAGTCTCTTATTTTCTACATTGGTAATTTTTCGGTAATACAAACCGAATCCCATAGAAAAAACCAGAAGCGATAAATAAATTATATCGTCCACGTTCATTTTTAAGATACCGCACTTGTTTATTTAATTACTTACATTTATCACTTCAATGAGGGTCAAAGTTTGTTTTATTTTTTAAAAACATTTAATAATCCCACTTACCCCGTTTTTCAAGGTTTTTTTTTTTAGTTCGCAAATTGGTTGCGGTGTTGCCGGATCGAGATCGCGAAAATATTAAATAATTAATTTATTTTAGTTTAACAATGTCATATTATTAGGTAAAATCTGTGGCGTTATTATAATATTCCAGAGATGGTTAAATAATATGGCCATTATCTTTTTAAGAACTTAATAAATTGTTAGCGATTCAATGAACTCTTGAAAAATCGACAACATTGGCAGCTTCTTTTACATCATGGCCTTCATTTTATACAACATTCAGTGAATGAGAATTTTAAATTGTAATATACAGGGTTATCCCAAAAAGTTTTATATGGATGGGAAAATTTTAATCTTACATTTAAAAAAAACTATTCTTAATAAAAATTTCTGTTATCATTGGGAATGCATCATCAAATATATTTTTTTTTAAATAGAGGTGGTATACAGGGAAAATTAAATGTAATAATTTATTTAGGGTGTCAAAATAGGTCGATATTGGACCCAATTATATACAGTGTGTCTACTTAAGCCGGCACTATATGGAAAACTTTTTTATTATTAGTTTTATGCAAAAAAGTCGTTCTTCATGATCTCTAAAACCTAAAATTCAACCATTAGACATGAAATTTTTTCAGTCATGTACGCATAGTGGCGGCTTGTGGGCACTAGCGGCAGTGGGGCACACACTGGAAAGGAATCCCGGAATTCGTTTTTTCCTTAGGAAAACAAGTTCTCCGCTCAATGAAAATTAAATATATTTCAAAACAATCAGTTGGGGCAATAACGATTTCTGAACAATGAAGCTAAATGTGACCACTCAAAATGCATTTAACTATGTATGTGGCTATTTAATCAAAAAATCATTACATATATCCACTCTGGCGAAATTTGCGTAAATTTCTCAGAAGATTGCAATTTACTTAACAATTCTAACTTGTTAACGCATTTTAAAGCATACGACTCTGAAGAAAAGGTGTTTGGCAATTTAAAATCTCCCAGCGAAAAATTTATCTTTTATATTTTCAAATTAGAAAAAATATTTATATCTATTTCATAGTTTGTCAACTAAGCCTGAAATTTCCAACGCATACCTTTTAGAGATGAGCAAAATAGAATTTGGTCATCCTTGCCAACAATTTGCGAAAATGTACACCATTAAATTATTTATAAGACTCAGAATGTTTTATACTCTTAAATATGCAAACAGAGATTTGAAATCCTCGAAAAAGTCAGAAAACCAAAAGAAAAATTAAAATTTTGTCCCATTTATAAATATTATTGATTTTTTTTCATCATATTTTTGATAGCTTTATAAAAAAAAGTTATTTTTCTTCGTAGTTTTATTTCTTAACTACATATTCCAGTGGTCCAACTAACGTTTTTTTGTAATAATTATAAATAAATTATTATCATGGTCCAACGCGCACCTTAAGCCGAAACCGTCATCGCCTTTGTAAGGGAGCCGGTAAAGATGTCGCTGCGTACATTCGTATCTGGTCTAGGTAATCTGTGCCATGGGTACAGCACGTCACGAGGAGGACAGCGCCCCGCTTGTGATGTATATACCATCGCATGTGTCATCTCTTGCTAAGCGATATTGTCGTTGTCCTCAAGGCCGACTAGAGGGGGGGGGGTAGCCGGGACCTATTCCCGGGACCTGAACACAAATGGGGGCCCGGCAGCGGCAAAAGGGGGGCCCGGCAACTGGATTTTTTTGTCTTGTACGAGAACGACACAAGACGAGACGGGGAAGTGTTTTTATTTTTTTTTAGAAAATTCAAGTAGAGTAGGAAAAGTTGTTTTTGCTTGAGGACCTTCTTTTTTAGGAAAATAGGAAAAGCAATTCAAGTAGAGAAGGAAAATTTTTTGGTTGATGACTTTCTTTGTTTTTTTTTTTAAAAAAAGCAATTTTAGTATAGGAGGAAAAGTTTTTGTTTGAAGAGCTTTTTTGTCAAAGGGCCCGATCTAGAGAATTGTCCTGGGGCCCGGCCTGGCTCTCGGCGGCCCTGGTTGTCCTTGTTTTTCGCATCATAATGAGAGAGAAAACAACAGAGGCACACATTTACTGTGCCCATCTTCTACTTAATTTTGGAATTCTCGGAACGTCGCTCAACGCCCGGTCGTTCAGTGTCGTGCCAACGCGGTTTGAGCGGAATATTAGATAAAATAATAATAGGCATTGAGGAAAATATAAATATATGTAAGTTATTTTTTTTTGTTTATTATACTAGGGCACGTGCCCAAGTGCTCTTACGGGTAAATCGTCACTGTCTATGAATGCGGGACGGAGGCCTCCTGGATTGTTGGGGTTGGATCTGTGGCATTTAAAAGCCTTTTGACTTTTACCATGTTAACCAATATAGGTACTTACCCTTCATAAGGCCATCATTAACCAACATAATGCTGGGCCACTACCAGAAGGCTAAGAATAATAGTCTTTTATCTTTTAATCATCCTATTCATTTTCCCTTCAATTACAGCAAAAGGCCAGCAATATCCCGGCAATTCATTGTTTGTTGGATATAGTCGCAAATCCAATACGTGTTACGAAAAAAGATCTTTAATGCTTTTTGGTATAAATACGATATATAAATTTAATCTTGGTACTCATAAAACTGGATATTTATGGTAAATGAAATAATATTGAATATCTAACCTTGGTTTTTGGTTCTGATCAACTTTTCTTAACAACAATTTTCGTATTGTTAAAAATAATGGTACTTTACTCTTGCATAATATTCAAATTTTTCGACATACTTCGTACAGTTGAAAAAATTTGATATCTAATTACTGTATTTTTAGTTTTAGACCATGCAGAACTTATTACAAGAAATAACTTTGTTTCATACATTTTCCTATAGTTTAATTTTAATAATTATAAAAATGTTTATTTGAAGTTAATTTCTGCCTGTCAGACAGCGTTCTTAAGAACCCCCGTATTTTTATTTCAATAATTGAGAGAGCCCCCGTAGTTCAAGATGTATAATTATTTACTGAAATTCAAATCCAGTTTTAAACGTTTAAATTTAGGAAAAATATCTGATAATTTTCGCAAATAACAGGACATTTTTTTTAGTCTTCCGATTTGTAAATATTGGCTACTCCCACTCTGAATTACTCGGAAATCGAAGTAGTCCGAGCGTAAAGTATAAAACCGGACTCCCCTAGAATTCTCTCTTTTTTCCGAAGCTCTTTCTGCTGCTTTGTTTTTAGTGCCGAAATAATACCGTGTTTTCTATCGCCGCCTGTGTTAACCTTTGAAGAACTAAGGTAGGAATCTTTCACTAGTAACATTTCTATAAAGATTTATTTTAATGTTCTCATGATCGACCGCCGCAAGTCAATTGTTAGCAAGAAATTATTTGCTTTAGTCCGACAAAAAAGTCTTTACTAGTCTCGAATTTTGGGACGCGTGTAGGATTTCTGAACTTTCGTAAGAAATGCCATTTGGAAAGCCCACTTAAATGGAAAATTTCATGTAAGACCGCGCAAAAGCGAAACTATTGATTTTAACATTCTACAAGTGACCTTGACAATAACTTGCTCGTACCAGTGGCATGCCTGAATGTTTTCCCCCAGGAGGGTATAATAATAATGTTACATATTGTTAATTAAATGAGAGCTCTTCTCCGCTTATTAAGAGCATCCGTCTCACTGATTACTTCACCTCACGTTTTCACCTTGTAGGTTTAGAGGTACTAGCTAATCTAATTTTATCCAGCCCGTGAATGCAATTATAGTAGATTTATTATCACTAATTTGTAGTCTATTTTCTATCCATTTTATTACTATGTTTAAATTCTCTCTAACTGTATAGTGTTGTATTTACCCTGTGCCATGATCGCTATATCATCGGAATATCCCCGAAAGACCTCATAAGATTCAGTTGCCCATCGGATAGACCTAATAATAGTTAATAAACCGCGTGTTTGTTTTGACATTTTTAATGATGATCGTACAAAAACAGAATGTATCTTTAAGACTGTTTCTTTTACTAAATGCAATCACAATCGGGTTTCTCGATTCTCGGATCCATTTGCAAGATGCGATAAGAACCTTCGCTGGCTGCAGATGATGAATCATCGTCGCCATCCTCGTCAGATTTACTGCTGCCAGTACTCTTTTTCTTAGGCACGTATCTCGGACACACGGCGTATTCGAATATTTCTATGGTGCTGAGAACTAAAAAAAAAAAAATAATACATTTATCTTCAATATATTGCAATTTTTAATGCTGTCGTACCAGATTCCTCGCTAGAAGATTCCATTTCATCTAGATCTGTCAGCGCAGCCGTGGTAGCCACCAAGCTGTCCAAGCATTTTCTCCAGTACTGCGCCATGTTCATTGCTTCTGTCAAACTATCGAGTGTTTCGTGGGCTGTTACGACATTCTTAATAAGATGGTCCTAAAAAAAAGCCAGAAACATGATCGTCAAGTTAGTTTTTCCGCTATTTTCCTAAAAGGAATCTGTTCGGTCAGGATTTGATGTAAGACGTGGCAACCCGGGGATTTCGGTCCTGCAGAGAGACGCTAGACTAAGGTTAGGTTGTAACAAAAGAGACTCGGGAGCTAGATATAAGATATGTTTGTATACCTAGTTAAGATTGAAAGTGAAGTGTATTAATAAACTCCTAATCAATCGATAGACTCTTTATTACCAAAAGAACCCAACATAACAGAATCGTAAAATGGAAATAAGTAGATAGGAAATGGGAAGCAAAATGAGCACGTTCAAGGTTATCCAAGTAAAGCTCAAGATATGGTATCCCAGTATAGGCGCGCATGTACTTAATGTTAACAGAAGGTAAATAACGCAGAAGAATATGGAGCAAATACGACTTTATTATAAAAATATAAAACTGACAGTATATCAAATTACTTCAATCTCTTATCTTGATTGAAACATTCAAAATAGGTATCCACAGAAGCGCACTTAGGTTTATAACATAGCTCATCTAACACTTCAAACATATTTACTTACTTGCAAACACTTGGGGCAGCAATACACGGGTCTACCTTTAAAGTTCTCGATGATATCGTCAGACAACTCTTTAACGTGCTGGCTGTAATCCATCCAGAAAACGATCTTCTCTTCAGTTTCGCAAATGAACTGCCTCCATTCGTCCTTGTACAGGACCTTTCTTTGGCCGTTGGGCAGCTTGATATCGCCTCTGACGGTAGCGGCGAATTCTCTAATCTGTCGGATAACTTCGTGCATCCATTTCGTCCATACGTGAGCGTTATGGCAGACTTCCAATAACCACACGGCCCAAATTTTCAACGAAAGGCAACATATGGCGTCGGGGGAGTGTTCCGTGATGAACGAGGGTTTGTGCCCCAATATCATCTATAGTTGGAAGGGATATTAAGGAATAGCGTACGAAATGTGTATTAAAATACTCACAGCACCGGATTCGGCGCTCTCGCATGGTTCCAATTCGGGTGCTGGTTCTTCCGGCATCGTTGGAGGAGCTGTTTGATTGCAAAACAACGTTAGTTACAATTTGCGAGTTTTATTGGATTTTTCCAGGTTTGTAACAAAAAAAATTACGAACTAAATGCCTATCGCCAAAGAGTAAAACGGACAAAAAATACTACATTAGCAGAATTCTTTTGGTTAGAGAGGTAAGAAAAAAAAAAGATTACATGCCAACATTAAAATCGAGAAAATGTAACATTCTGCTGTGATTTTTAATATTTAATGTTTAGATACGTTTATAACACTTTCTTTCCTCTTAAGATATTTCCAAACAGTAAACTAAACTGTAACTATACCAACGTTAAGAAAGCTTCAAAAAACTTACGACAGATTTTCTCAGGCGGGGGTTCTGCTGGTGGGGGCTTCGGTGGGGGACAAGGAGGACGCGTGGGAGCTGTAATTTAATTATATGCTTTGAAAAAGTTCGATTTCAATAGAATTTTAACATCTATTTAACTTACGAGGAGCGGGTTTTTCTTCCTCGGCTTCTACTGCTTGAGGTCCAGTATCGTCTGTAAGAGATTTGAATAAAAATACAATAAGGTTTCGTTCGATTTACCGGTGAACTAAGATGGCGTACCAATTCCGTAATGGTGTGTTAAAATTATTGCCTGAATACGCTGCGAAATTATTGATATTTACATAAAGATTAGAAGACTGTCAAATATGAAGCAAGTATTTATGGTAGATGACAAAAAATTCCTTACAAGATCGTGTCACTTATTACATGTTTGCGTTTTTCCTTATAGATTTATTTCCAGCGATTATATTTATGGTAAAGATGCATCAGAATGTCTTTTTGCAACATCTGAACTTTGTGGTTTGATTCATTTTGTTACTAGTAATTTAAAACATTTAACACAAAAATGACAATGACAACAAAAAATTTAAACTAACAAATTACACGCCAAAATAAAACTGTCACTTGTCATTCTTTTTTAAAACTAAATGGCCTTTTACTTGTATCCGATATTTGATCAATATTTGTAGACTTTCCGACAAACGACGAAAAACTATTAGACTAAATCCGTTCATAATTAAGTCCTTTTTTAGGGTTACGTACTCGAAGGGTAACCAACGGGAGCCTATTAAGCCCCCGCTGTCCGTTCGTCTGTCTGTCATGATCCGTAATAGGTAGACAGATGAAATTATTAAATTTTCACAGAATGTGTATTTCTGTTGCCGCTATAACAACAAATAATAAAAATAAGTGACAGTACGAATAATTAGGCATTCCAAACAAATGAATTGCCAGTGGGAAGGTTTGGTATATCTAAGGATGGCGACATACGGTGTATTCTATCTACTTTATGTAAAATCATGAATAATGGATTATATTTAAATATTTTATGTCAAACACAATAAAAATAATATTTAAAAAACCTACCTATACATTTCTTCATAAATTGGCAGGCTTGGCGACTACTACTTCGAATAAAAATAGCGTCCAAGTTTGCAAGACTATGTCGCTACCCCCTTAGATATACAAGAATTTCCCACTGGCACATAGTTTGACAGGTCGTTGGAATGCCTAATTCCCTAGTGTAATTTTGTAAGCCTTTTGTTCGCTTTAGAGCCTTATGTTTAGTTATAACCGAATTATAACCATAAGCAATCCTTATAACAATACTGTCTCATAATAATTTAACAACTACGAGGATGACACACAGTTGTTTGTCTTTAGACAAAGTAGAGCATTTTATTTTAGTTATAAAAGACAGACATGTATTGTTATACAACACCATTGGTCAACAATAGTTTGTCGTTAGATCTATAGGATTAAAAGGCAAACAGAAGTTAAACAGACCTTTCGTTGTTCTCCCACTTCATACTCAGGATTTGACAGTTTTGCTGCGGAGCTAACCGAAGTGAACGCGATACAAAGGCGTAGAAAATTATTTTCCAAGAATTTCGCGTATTCACGTAAATAATTTAATAAAATGAGTTTTACCTCCCCATCCTTGTTTCCTCAGTTTATCGGCAATGGCGCAGGCGTAATCGTGGATTTGTTTCAACGTTTTCTCGTTGAGTTTTTCAGGGGAAATTTCTTGCAACCACTCAACCATGGCCTCTTCTAGTAAACCTGGCGGCGGGGGTGGACCGGTTTCTTTAAGTAAGTCCCTTAACCAAATCAATGCGTCCAATATATCGATGTATTTTATCCAGGGCATGGGACCAACCTAAAAACATTGTAAAAGATGGAAAATTATAAATTAATATGTCTTTAAGTAATCAGAGTATTTAATATTTCGTTTATTTAAGAGTTTAAGGGTCGATTCCACCGTTGTGTTAAACGGAGATTAAAATGACACTGTTAAATGTAAAAATGTCATTTTAAACTTCGTTTAACATAACGGTGGAATCGGTCCTAAGTTGTAGAGCAACGGCAATTTATACTTGACAAAAACTATGTCAATCGAGAGAACACAAATGGTGGACCCTTACTTCCAGTTACAGCTGTACATGATTGAACCATTGATCTTTGTGGAATACACATATTTGTGAACAAAATGAGTGAAGATGATATTTTCAAATTAAACAAAAAGAATATACATAGAAAAATAGTATAGGTACACTACAAAACGAGCGGGGAAGTACTCGGATTTATTACAGCCGAGCGTCATGGTAGACATATTTGTGCTATCTGGTATTAGAATTAAGGTATATCGATATTGCAAATAGTCCATAGGAAACTGATCATTTACAAAGTACTTTTATGCCGTTTAGACATCAATAAATGCTGAATAAATAAAGATTTTTGTTAGTGTTTTTACGGAAATAGGTTTAAAAATTCTGAAGTGTTGTGAGGTTTGTCTTTACTTGATCTATTATTTTATATACTGTTATGCAATACTTACATCACTTTGCATGTAGTCGCTGGGTGTACAATTCCTGTAAATTCGGATAAGTTCCTCCAAAAGGGCCCATTCGTCGAATTCGTCTTCTAAAAAGTTTATTTGAAATAGTAGTAAAATATTTGTTAACTATTTTACACTACCATGTATATGAGATGGGGACAAAAATATAAATTATCCAGTTCATAAGTTAAAGATGACAGAATCGAGTATTTTAACCCGTTCACTGCCAGAGGACGCTTTAAAGCGTCCGCGTTACCTGCGCATGAATACCGCTGGCGCTTTAAAGCGCCCACGACTACCTGTTGGTAAATGCGTAGTAAGTAGGACTTCGGTACTTAGGTGACTCCAGGGTTAAACTGATCGGCAGTGAACGTGTTTTAAACTTTATAATAAATTGCCTGATATAATGAAAATCATAACGAGTACCAAGAGATTTAAAAAGGAAGTAAAGGATATTATTTTAGAAAATGAACCGTAATATAGATGGATTTTCAAATTACAATAATATTTAAATTTCATTTGTTCACGTTGACGCTATTTCAGCCTGTTTTACTCAAAGTGGTTATGAATTTTAAATGTCTTTTGAAATAAAGATTATTATTATTATTATTATTTATACGAGAAATATCCTGATAAAGTTTTTAAAATAAAAAATATTTCACAAAATATCTCAAATCAAAACTAAGCTGCTATTTTTACGCATTAGGCTGTTAACAAGTCACACAAAAAGTTTACTATCCTACTATCTATTGTCCAATATAGTACAGCAATTTATGTCTAATATTTTATAACTGTTGATATTGTTTTACCCACCCATCATCCCTATTTACTCCCTTTTCCGTAAAATTGTTAATATTAACTAAAAAAATGAAAATTTTTATATAAAATGAATTATTTAATTATTAATTTGCACATAATGTGGAATTTAGGTTTCAGTTTACAATAGCGATTAGCGATACCTACAAGTACTGGCTTGAAGGACCATGTTACTTCTTGGTTCAGTAAAAAACTTGGGTAAGAGAATGTTGCGGATTGGTTTGATTTATCAAAAAAAGTGATATTTTAATGATCTTATTCCAAATTTAATAGGAATATCTGTGATCTAGATATACTCGTGTTTTATTGATTTTTTATCATTTACGACAAATGTTTGCTAATTCTTTATTCCTAGTAGCAAATTAAGGTCCATTTAAAAAATGAATTTCATTTTTAAACTTGGCCTTAAATCTAGCCTATTCATCTGATCCAAGGATACTATCCAGAGCTGTTTATTTACCTTCTAGGTATATTTCTATTAAATCTTAAAAGCGATCCATAAAAAATATTTCTAAAGTTGGCATTGAGCGACAAAAATACGAACCATGTTCATGACTCTGAATTAAATCTAAACTGAGACTTTAACATGCATTAATTCTTCCAATGCCTATTTTAAAAACATTTTTTTGTAGAACACTCCATCTGTAAGGTGGGGAGTGTGGGTTACTACACAAGCCTTAAAACCTCTTTTGGCGCATATATGACCTGTCTTTCATCTTGTCTAAAACCTGCTGATTGTAGCTAGAGACAGCCATTTTCCCAGCTTATCAAAATCTTGCAGGTTACCAACCCATCAAAAACCTGTTAGTTGTATATTAGATTAGGAGTTGAACGTTATTTGTCCTTGTCCACCTCGACCTTTTCAGATCCGTTTGTTTTAGAGTATGTCGTCTAGCCTGGTCTTTTTATTAGACTTAGTAGCTTTGACAGGGGCTTTTCTTCGCCCAATGTTAGAAACCTATTTCCAGCCAGGCATTCACATTGGCACAAGACGTGGAATGATGTTTCCTCTTTTTCTTCACAGAACCTGCACAAAGTTGCTTCTTCTGCTGGATTGATGACACTCGTGTGCCTTTTGAGGCGACAGTGTCCATCAGTAAGAAGGCCTACTGTTATCCTAACGGTTTGACGCTTTTGATCCAATAGATCTTTCGTGAACTTGGCCGATGGTTCCTTAATGAACTGTTTGGCCTATCTCAGTCTTGGATAGTTGTTCCACCATTCCTGAGACTCTTTTTGCATCCATTGTTTAATAGATGCATTAGCAACTCGGGGCCTGTCATGGCTTTATCTGAGCCTTCTCGGGCTAATTCGTCGGTCTTTTCGTTGCCCTGATATCCCTCATGGCTTGGAACCCAGGCTAGGGTCACCTTATTTTGACTACTTAGGTCTTCTAGACAGTCTTTCGACCAGTCGTGATTTGATTTCTGGTGAGAGAATTGCCTTTAAAGCTGCTTGACTATCAGAGTATATGGCAACAGTTTTGCCTGATACTTGCCGATTTAATATTTCTCTTGCACAGTGTTGTATGGCTATTAGCTCAGCCTTGAAAACACTGTTGCATATTTTCTTAAACTCAGCGAAATCGTTGTTTTCGACTTGGGTCCATAGATTCCAGCAGCGGCTCCTTCCTTGGTTTTTGAACCGTCTGTGTACCAGCCTGTACGGGAGGTCCCTGTTTCCAGGATTCTCGTGCTGGTATTTGAATATGTCTATGGGGTTATGGCTCTATCAGTAGGCATAGCTAGAATATTATTCCTTTTTACTTGCTGATATAGCCTTACGTGTGTCTTTTTATCCAACTGTTGCAGCAACGTTGGCATCGGTGCGGTATGTCAACTGTTATTTATTTCAACGGTCAACCAGAATCCAACACAAAACGTTCAAGGCCGCATCGGTGAAACAAACCGGTGGAAAAAAAGACACGTCTTGTGTGGTCGGCACTATGTAGTTGTCTTATTGGGTTTTGTCCCTGCATTAGCCTGTGAATAACTGACCTGGTTTCTCCTTGTATGAAGATGTGCAGTAGCTTGAGATTTGATACCTCCATTGCTGCAGTCGGCGTAGTGCGCATGGCCCCAGTAGCACTTAGACAGGCAAGCCGCCGAATGCTAGTGAGTTGGCCTATTGCACTTGCCTGCGCAGTTTTGGTTACCCACGCCACTGCGCCATAGGTTTATATGGTCATTTTGGGGTTTTGACCCGTTTTTCCCACATATTACTCTACAGCTTACGAGAGCTATTGTAACTTTGTATGTGAATTTTTTGAGATGTTGATTCCACGTCAGCCTTTGGTCAAATATGACTCCGAGGTATTTGGCTTCTGTGATGAATGGGATAACTATGTTGTTTAGTACTAGTGGTTTCAGTCCTGTAAGTACCCGTTTTTTTGTGAATGGTACAACTGTTGTTTTTTGTTTAGTTGTAATAGGGATAGCCAGCCTCTCAGGTCAAAGCCCTGCAGGTTAATAACGTCGCCGACTGGTGTGGTGGGCTTCTACCACCACTCCATATTTAAATAAAACAAATTCTTTTTAAAACAATTTTATTTAAGAAAATATTTGTACACCTAAACAAGGTTATCACAGACTGTATAAAAGCAAACTACCTACTGAAACTTCAACAACAAAAATTAAAACCCCCTAACGTTCTTTATAGCTATAGATTCCATAGCCGGCGCCATTTTGACGTACTCGCCCAATTCCATGGTAAAAGTGGCAGTTCCGGAAGACAATGTTCTCAAAATAGTCGAATATCCCTTGAGCTCAGACAATGGAGCTTTAGAAATGACGAGCTTGGAGTTGCCTCTCACGCCCACATTGCTAATAATAGCTCGTCTTCTAGTCAAATCGGCCATAACGATAGAAAGGTGCTCAGCGGGAGTGACAATCTCTAGATTCATTATTGGTTCCATTATGCTGGTACCAATCTCCCTAAGCATCTTCTGAACCAGCTGCGTAACAGTAGCTGCTATAACAGTATCAGAAGTACCTTTTCCGAGTTGCAACAAATGTAACGTCACTTGCGTGTTAACTACGGGGCAGCTAATTTTAGGACCGTGAGCAAGCCCCACCTCTATGCCCTGCTTGACGGCCACTAAATGTTTAGGGAATATGCTGGCTATATTACTGGCATATTCGGGAGATTTATCTAGCTTTAACACATCTTTCATTTTAGTCGGAGGTTCCACCGGTTCCACTGTCAATTTGACTGTTATGGATTGCTTACTGGAACTTATTTTAGTTTCGATATTTTGTGTGTCTGTTAATTTATGAAATGGAATTTCCCTGTAAGCTATTTGCAACCGACCAAAATCCACTTCGACTTTGTATTCTTTCAAGATCCTGTCTTTTATTATGTCTAAATGTAATTCTCCCATTCCTGCTAATACCATTTGACCAGTCTCCGCATTGTGAGTGACCCTTAAACTGGGATCTTCTCGTTGTAGCTCTATGAGTGCTTGATCTAGAATTGCTTGGCAGCTAGCACTTGGAGGTTCAATGGCTCTGAAGAATACTGGTTCTGGTACGTTTACACCAATACCCAGCATCTTGTCTATATCTTTTTCATCCATATTTTGCTCCTTTTTGGCCTTTTTTAATATATTACTTTTAGCTCTTTGACTAGCTGAGTTTGAAGTCGTAACTAGGTCACCAGACATCACTTTTTTGAGTCCCCCTACTACTGCAATATTTCCACTGGTTATGCATTCCACTTCTTTAAACTCATCAGCATAAGCTACGTATAGCTTGCTGATTAGTTCAGAGCACTTTTGTTGGATGCTGTAGATCTTTTGGCCCTTTTTCAACTCACCATTGTAGACTCTCATGAACACCAAAGGTCCCCTTTGTTTATTGTGGATCACTTTAAACGCCCTTGCACATAAATCCTTATCAAATGCCTTAAACAAGTGGTTGCTTTCATTAGGAGTGGGTAGGTATAATATCACTGCATCCATCAAACTTTGGACACCAAAATTCTTGTAAGAGCTACCTAGTAAGACAGGCACTGCGGTTTGATTCGTCGTTACGTTTCGTAAAGATTTAACAATGTCGTCAGTGGACACTGCATCTAGGGATCCTAAACTTATAACTTTATTGGCTAGGAGGTCATCGTAATTCGTTAATTTATCGACGAGTTTACACCTGGCAGTTGTGGCTTCTTCGAAATGTTTCACATCATTTTCGGCCGTTAGCTTAATTCTATTAACCAATTTTTCACCATTAGTACCGAAAGTTAGCAGTTCTAAAGATAAAATATCTATTATACCAACAAATTTGTTATCCTCTTTTACAGGTAACTGTAGAAGCAAATACGGTACCTGCAATTTTTTTTCTATTGTTTCACATGAATGGCAAATATCCGCGTCAGCCCTATCCATTTTATTTATAAAGATGACTCTCGGTATTTTGTTCCTATCTGCCTGTCTCCAAACGGTAAGCGTTTGAGCTTCAACACCGGCCGATCCATCCAAGACCACTATAGCACCGTCTAGTACGTTTAAAGTCTGTTCAACTTCCATGGTAAAGTCTATATGTCCAGGAGTATCGATCAAATTGAACTGGTTCTTTTTCCAATAAAAAGTGACCGCTGCCGAAGTAATTGTAATTCCACGTTCCCGTTCTTGTTGCATATAATCTGTTACAGTGTTTCCTCGATGAACTTCGCCCATATGATCGATCAAACCAGCCAAGAAAAGCATTCTTTCTGTCGTAGTAGTTTTTCCAGCGTCTATGTGAGCTAATATACCAATATTCCGAATATTTTCACAAGAAACCTCTTTAATTGGTTTGTCGCTGTAGTAATTTACTTGCTTGTATATTCTATTTATTTGTCTCAATAATTTTTGGCATTTTCGGCCGAAAGTGATTAAATTTGAATTCATTTTCGGCCCGCTAACTTAAACTAACCTTAAAATAAAATCGTCTTTTTGGTTATGCATTTGTTGTCCTTTTTTGCTGGAGTTACCTAACGATTGATGGCTGTTATCCAATACGAGTCACAAATGATCACGAACTAGCCGGTATGCGTAAACGTAAGAGGCCAACTATTTTCTTCTAATTTTGGCCTGTTACCCGTAAGCGCATATTGCCCTTAGTTTGATATTTTATTTCTCCAGTGGCGTATCAAGTAGTTTTTTAAAGAATTGTTTTATACAGGACGGTATTAAAAGAAAAATGCAAATTAAACAAAATTTTATTCATATTCATATTTGGGAATAATCCCGAAACAAAGGATTCAATAATCAAATGTGATATGGGTTCAGCAATACAATGAACAACCGATAACAGAATTTTACCATTTATTTCGTCAATGCCTTCAGTGGGTTTAGAAGTAGTTTTTTTGATTATAGTGATGATTTCACTAGTAGTTGTTGGAAAAAGAAAAAAGTTTATGTTTATCAATACTCATAGTATAGACAGGTACAATATTATTTTTATTTACATTAATAAAATAGTCATTGATATAATTTACTTTTTCTAAGGGTGTTAATTTGTCATCATTTGTAAGTTTAATAGGATTCAATAAGTTGTTTTTTCTTTTTCCCCTAATCTCGTTTATTATATTCCAGGATTCTTATTTATTACGTTATTACTTTTTAAAATACGATAATTATTTTTTCTTCTCAAATATTGTTTTGTTATTTTTTCATACTCTTAATCACCAAATCAAAAGTATGTTTCGATATGTCGGTTTTTTCATCTAGACAAGCCTTTTTGGATGAACTTTTAACTGGTTTTAAAAACCCATCAGGTATGTGCGTAAAAACAGCTCATTATATGCCATATTGGAAGTGAAGAAAGCTTTGTCTCTAATGCACTTTATGTATTTGATTTGAAAAATCCGGTGACTACCATGAAGAAATGTGTGGAGAATCGTTTAAAGAGTGGTTTTCAAACACCCTACCAAAATTAGAAGATAACTGCATTATTATTCGAGAAAGATGGAAAAAATATCTACGACGTCTAAAAAAAGGGATATTTAAAAATGGCTATAAGGGAAAAAAATTGAATTCGACTACCAAATGCTTAAGATCCAACTTCTAAAACTTGGTAAGCAACATAAACATTATGATAGGTATGTAATAGATGAAATGGCTAAGCAGCAAAACAACATAATACTTCACATGTCTCCGTATCATTGTGAACTTAACTCTATTGAATTAATCTAGGTTGACGTTAAACAATACGTAGCAGATAAAAACTCAACATTTAAATCTGGAGACATTAAAATTCTTTTTGAAGAAGTAATATTATTAATTTCTCCAGAAAAATGGAAAAAGTGTATCGACCATGTTCGCCAAAAAGTTGAAGTAAAAATGTGGGAGTTGGATAATATTATAGAGGTTCAGGTAGAACCACTTGTAATTTTGATTAATGAAGATAGCCTTTCAAGTCTAACTAATTTATCCGATTCAGAATAGTGCTAAGTCAAGTAAGGAAGATTGCTATAATACAGGGTACAAGTTGTCTAATCTAAATACTAGTAGAACAAGAACAATAAAGAACAAAAGTTATCAAAAATACAAAAGGTTTCTTTTTAAGATGCACAATTTTAAATCAAATACCAAATTCAAATACCTCTTATATTTAAATTTTTTTTAATGCTTTTAGTAGATATATATTAGCTATTAAAGAATTTGCAATTATTTGGACACCCTGTACAATATAATTTTATAATATGATTGTTTTAATGCTCTGTATCACAGTAGACATATGTAATGAACTAAATATAATGCAACCATCTCTTTTAAAGTCAAATACATTTATTAATTTGTATTGCAGGTTAACGCAGTTTATGTCGCTCACCTATCTTCGTCCAGAAATGTCACTAAAGTCTGGGAGACCGTGTATGGCATTTATTTATAGTTTTACTTTAAAATATATGTTTTTATCGTAATAAAAAAATAATTTCACAATTACACTCTTTTATTTTACCTTTTTGCAAGACGGAAAAGTAAAATACGGCCCTGCTCAATTTTAGCGTCCACCTGCTTCTGTTTACATCAGGCGTAAATTAAATTTGAATAGACTTTAGGTGCGTTCCTACGGGCGCAGCCAGTTTTATTGTGCATCTCACCCCGGCAGTATTTGTTGCACATCGTTATTGTCTGGTCCACAATCTGGTAGATCAGGAATGTTTGGATTGAAATAGAAAATTATTATAGTTACTCCCCAGTAAGATGAAAAATAAAATGGCTGCATTCATAGAATCGCATCTTAATCCTATTGACAGCCATTCCGTCCCACCCTAGTTCATTGGACGAATCATCAATAAACTATGAAAGAGAAAGTAATAGAAGGAAGGGTTCTTGTACATGCGAATTAATTTAACTATTGCGCCAAATATTTGAAATATTAATACGTTTTATTATTACTTTACGTTGACCTGCTCATTAATGTATATTTATCTCACCTTCTTCGCCTAGCGTCATTTCTTCTTCAATTTCCGATTCTAGTTCTTCTCCTTCCTCATCACTTATCGTCGATATCGTCACAGGCGGAAAATCGTCTGCGTCTTCTACTGCTTGCATGTCAACGAATTTGGTTATTGTGTCCATCCACAGCGCTACTTTGTCGCTAATCTATTATATTAAATAAACTTAAGAATGCCTTAACACTTGCTCGAAATAGAGAAAAGCTAGAAATACTCGGTTTCTCCATTTTTTTAAAAGAAAATAAATGTAGGTAGGTACACGAGGAACTGAAAAACGATTTTATTAAAAGACTTCAATTCATGTACAATTTTGAAAGAGTAAAACCAAATTTGGTAGATTTTCACACTTTTATTTTAAAAATAAAAATTTAAAAAAAAAAAACACTAACATGACATATGTTTCCAAGTACAACTTCTTTTTCAAATGTGACTATTTACAATTCGGTATCCAAAATATATATATACGAAATAATTTAACAAAACAAAGTACTTAAGAAAACATCAATAACATTACAAAATAAACTATTTAAAGTAAATAAGGGTACTTAGGTAATTATAATATCCATCAGATAACAATAAGATATCCCATTACCGGGATTATCTCACAGAAAACTGGGAAAGAGATTTAATAAGGGTGAATTATTAATATCTAATTGATCATTTAGTAAGTTATCTGAATTTTTAAATCTATTTATTTCAAATGTTTCTAAATGGTTTAATTTAAGGCTCTTATTTTCTACATGTAAAATTTCAAAGTTGTCTGTACAAGAATGATTTTCAGCTAAAATATGATTTGAGTAAGTAGAATTATTTTTGTTTTTTGTATAGCTATTATAATGTTCGGAATAGCGTTTTTTGAAAGTACGGCCTGTTTGACCAATATACAATTTTGGACAACTACCACAATTTAATTTATATACCCCCGATTTATTATTAGGATTAATTTTACCCTTATTGTTTTTAATATACTTACCAAGCGTATTATTGGTTTTAAAAGCTACGTTAATATTTTGGTTTTTTAAATATGATGATACCTTTTCACTAGGAGCTCCTATATATGTAAGAGTCTTATATCTGCAATTTGGATCTTTAATTATGGGATAAACTTGTTGAATAGCCTGTTTAAAAAGTTTTTTCTCTAAAATGTTGTCTACTAACTTTGAATTAAAATTATTATTTACTGCGATTTGTTTAATGATATTTAATTCTTTAGTGAAGTTCTCTTTGGTTAAAGAATTAAATATCATTAAACAAATCGCAGTAAATAATAATTTTAATTCAAAGTTAGTAGACAACATTTTAGAGAAAAAACTTTTTAAACAGGCTATTCAACAAGTTTATCCCATAATTAAAGATCCAAATTGCAGATATAAGAGTCTTACATATATAGGAGCTCCTAGTGAAAAGGTATCATCATATTTAAAAAACCAAAATATTAACGTAGCTTTTAAAACCAATAATACGCTTGGTAAGTATATTAAAAACAATAAGGGTAAAATTAATCCTAATAATAAATCGGGGGTATATAAATTAAATTGTGGTAGTTGTCCAAAATTGTATATTGGTCAAACAGGCCGTACTTTCAAAAAACGCTATTCCGAACATTATAATAGCTATACAAAAAACAAAAATAATTCTACTTACTCAAATCATATTTTAGCTGAAAATCATTCTTTTACAGACAACTTTGAAATTTTACATGTAGAAAATAAGAGCCTTAAATTAAACCATTTAGAAACACTTGAAATAAATAGATTTAAAAATTCAGATAACTTACTAAATGATCAATTAGATATTAATAATTCACCCTTATTAAATCTCTTTCCCAGTTTTCTGTGAGATAATCCCGGTAATGGGCTATCTTATTGTTATCTGATGGATATTATAATTACCTAAGTACCCTTATTTACTTTAAATAGTTTATTTTGTAATGTTATTGATGTTTTCTTAAGTACTTTGTTTTGTTAAATTATTTCGTATATATATTGGATACCGAATTGTAAATAGTCACATTTGAAAAAGAAGTTGTACTTCGAAACATATGTCATGTTAGTGTTTTTTTTTTTTTTTTTTTTTTTTTTTTTAATTTTTATTTTTAAAATAAAAGTGTGAAAATCTACCAAATTTGGTTTTACTCTTTCAAAATTAAATGGATTTTCATCAAGTAAAGGCCGAAACAATAAATAATCATGTACAATTGATACTAAGATTCATTATTCTAATGGTTCCTATACACACTATCGGCCATCATAGGCGTATAAGTACCATAGTGTGTAGGGCTTATTTGTTGGTGATGATTGGTAGTCGATGAGTTGTCGGTTTTTTACACACGAATGAAAGGTCGGTAGTAGTTATTTTTGTATGTCTACGCGATTACCGAGCTCCTCAATTTTTATTTGAACGTGGAAGGTATTAAGAAGCAATTCTTGAAGCATGTACAATAGCAGCGTGACAATTTATAGAATTGTAGAAGGGCGAGCCAACAATTTGTAACCCTACATTTAAAAATCTCAAAGAATATGATAAATGGCATATAAATAGCAGTAGCTGTAACCAATTCATCAAGTTCCATCTTGAACAATGAACAGAAACTAAAAAAACACGGACACAATGTTGCCAACCTCGAAGAAAAATTGTTCTCTCCACATACCTTCAAAATTACCACTTTTATGAAATCCCGGACCTTTGTCCACTTAACAGATTTTATTTTATTTCTCAAATCATATATTTTTCACATTGTAGACTGGAGTAAAAAATTTTCGTTTTAATTAACTTTTCCATTTTTTCCCTTCTGTGTTAAAAATTCCCGCAAAACGGGAAAATTCCCTCCGGTTGGCAACACTGCACGAACATCGTATGAATGACAGCGCAATAATGGGATCAATGATTGCCCATTATGCAATGGCCGATCGTGTATAGATGCCTTAATAGAACAAAAGTAAAAGTTGGAAATGCTTTTGCCAGTTCTCCCACTTTAAACACATAAATTGACAGGTTGGCAGCGGAACTCACCGAAGTGGACGCGATACATTGGCGTACAAAATTATTTTATAGATGTTAATAACAATTTCGAGTAAATAGTTTAATAAATTGTGAATAGCTGTTGAAATTTTGTAAAATTATAATTTGAATATTATAATACATGTTTAATCATTATTTATAATCCATAAATAAATGCGATTGTTCGGTTCCGGCGATAACAATTTAAAATTACTTATTCTATGAAACGACACTGGCAGGTAAACATTACTGTGAAATTCTCGGAGCCACCCGACGTGGTTTGACGTTTACCCCCTCTCTACCTACCAAAAGTCTTTTCAACTTTTACTTTCTCAATACCTCAACAAGAGTCCTCTTGTAATGATTCTTCGTATTCCTTTTCGGCTTCTTCAAAATCTTCCGCTCGTCCAACTTAGTTAAAATGGCGTCGCTCAACATCAACTGCTTGTAATTCAACGAAAACAGCGGTTCGTCTCTGAGATAATCGATTATGACTTGCGCAGTCGCTTTAATGTTGTCGCTCAGCCATTTTTCTCCGCCCGCATCTCGCTCTTTGATTTTCTTCCTTCTCATTTTTCGCCTGTTTCGCAGGCATTTCTTCTTTAGCTTGTCCAGCTTTTTGTAGTACCACCTAGTAACATTATAATTTCGTTGTCACAAAACGTATGAAGATGCGGTCGACATAATAGTGCAGACATTGCGATATGAGTTAAATAACAAACAAACTTTGATCAAAAGTAATTAAAAGATTCGCTTCTGCATCACAGTACGTCACAATCACGTGGTACAAATCTACGTAAAGATAGGAAACGCAATGACTGCAGCTACGATGGCGTCATCTATGCGTCTCAGATGTTAACTAAAGGTATACGTCGTTTGTAGACACACAGGAGTTTCAAAAAGCACTCCAGTGCACAGCAAATATAAATGTCAGTTAGTTTTATATATATTGAAGAATCCTGAATTTAAATTTTAAGTTAATGATTGGTGTTATCCTCTAGATAAACTAAGCGAAATGGTTGTAGCTGTTTTTGTGTGAAATTTGAGGACAATAATTATATTTTTTAATATTACAATAAGTCGGAGAACGTATTGCATTAGTAACACAAGCCACATGAATAAATTTAACAACCCCAATATGGCGTTCTTTAATTAATCAAAGTAAGATTTAGTCATGTAAGTAACACAAATAGTAAGTAACCAAATTTTGTCACAAAGTAGGTATTTATCTATTATTTATTGTTTTAGAACAGGGGTGCACAACATGCGGCCCGCCAGTGTCGTTTTGGCGGCCCGCTGGTCGTTTACCAGTTTGGCCCGCCTACGTCAAATTATACATTTTTCAGTAACAAACTTGCATTTAGGCTGACGACCTTTTTTAGAAAACTCGATCAGCAGGATGGGTTATACATTATTAGCTGACGATCTTTTCTTTTTAGAAATCTGAGCCGACTGAGCCTCTCTTGGCGGCACTCGTACAGTTACGGTTTTTCAAATCTGGCCCTTTGAAAATCTGAGTTGTGCAGGCCTGTTTTAGAACAAGAAAATGGCTTCAAAACGTTAGAACGAAGATTTGATATAGGAAGAAAAATATCTGAATTATTATTGAGTTTACACTCAACATTTTTAAATAAGACACCTTTGACCATTCGTTTGGAAAATAAGAAGAAAAATGTAATGTTACAAATAACGATCAAAAATTAAAAAATATTTGTCATGAATAGATTTACAATAATTAATCGATAATAGACTGTAAGTGTAGTATTCTTTTTAATAAATAATTTGGCGTAATTATATTGTTTAAATTTATTTACAAGAACATGCAGTCGATATTTATACAACCTTTTTTTTATCAGGTTTTTAAATTTCCCGCTGCGTTGTTTGATATCGATGAAAGCGCCACCACACAGTGGGTCAGATGTTAACTGCGTTAAAGCTGGTCGTTGTTAAGCATTGGCTTCTTATGAGCGTTTCCTATCTTTATCTCCCTTATCTCTGCGCAATATGATACGGGACTCTAATGCCGAACCTTGTGGCGATCTACTAGATTGTTGCAGTAGATTTAAGTAAGTGTAGATGATACAGCAAGGGATAATGATTAAAATTAAGCACAAAGTGTCGTGTTCGTCTCAATCTATATTTTTTGTAGTTTTACATCTTTATTAGTATTAAATCGGACCATGCGTTAGTTTTCCCATCCCCTTATCAATTCCAATTGGAAATTTGTGGCGTTCAAGTTCAATGTATCCAGTTCTTTCGCTTGTTAACATTTTTGGAACAACTAAAAACAAATTTCTTTATTGATAAATTAGATGTGTTCCAACAAATAATTCCAATAATTCGTGACTTAAGTAATGGATTGTTTCAGAGCATGGACGATAATTTATTCAGTTCTGAACTAAGTTAATGTTGAAACCATTGAGATAAAATAAAGAGATGTCTATATTTGTTGCGTTTCAATATTCACATCTGATGCATCCGATATGTTGTGAATCTTTGATCACGTGGTTCAAGATACCTGATACAAATGTCGAGTGTAATTCACTCCTGCTAAATAGCTGGTGGAGAAAATATCCACCAGTGGACACCACATCGCCGACAGGAAGGTGTAGTGGCCTTTACACCGAGCCAAGCGAAAGATTTAGTGTCCATTGGTGTAGTTCATTCCTATACTAGTGGGACGAACGAAAGAACCTAATAAATACAACGCTGGGCACATGCTAGAACTAACAATTTTTAACAAATCTGGGAATCGCTCAATAACTGCCACGTTTGAATATCCACATCCGATGCATTTTTTACATCTCGAGCGTTTGTTTATCCACATCGGACACATCTCCACTACATCTACGTTTGTTTGTCCCAGATGTACCTGTTCAGATTACACTTTTTACATCTCGATTTAAAATGAGATGTTCGTTCCATGCCATAAAATAAGTGTTCTGTGAAGTCAAGTTTGTCAATTTATCCTTTGTTTATGCTAGCATGAATATAAAAGTTTGTTTAATTTTTGTTTAGATTTCAAATTTAGGTTGATTTGTAGTCTCAAAAGTCAAATTTAAAAAGTATAAGTTTCTAACTTGTCATTGTCATTTTATCACGTGACCAATAAAGTCTAGAGCGTTTGTTTATTACATCTACATTCAGATCTAATTCTTTATATAACGTGATAAAAAATTCACATCTCAGATGCATCCGATGTGGATATTCAAACGCGGCAATTGATTAAATTTTTAGTTGGTTCTGTACTGCTGTTGGAACAAACCTATATAATGATATATAATTCGCTACCTTTGAAGAAAACTCAATTTTTTTTTTTGATTTTGTACCTTTTGAATACATACAACCCAAAACTACCCGTCCACTAGAAAACAGGTACGTCAGTTTTGAAATCTGTTAAACTGACACTTCTCTTCGCGGCAATACTGTTACATATTTGTTGTTCGCTAATCGTCTTAAGTATAGTGTAGGTTATTATTTGTTCAAAACTGTCACATTTTGGAAAGTGTTCAATCAGATTATTAGATCAAAATAGTATTATTTAAAGTTATACCAGTTTTCTCTAAGACGAAGTAAATTATTTTTAAAAATAATGTAGTAAATATTTTACTTTTAATTATTTCCTTTTCAGTTTCTTCTAAATTCACAAATTTGAGGCAAATCTCGCATTGATCCTTCTTTTAGGGAAATTATTGATTAAAAATTAATTAGTTAATAATTTTGAACAATTTGCTTGTGTCCATTTGTGGCATAAATCCTAAAATATATATTTTTTTTGTTAACTGTCAAAAGTCCAAGCCCTTAAAGATTGATTGTATCTGTGAATATCTTCTTTAAATTTTGCAAACCAGGTTATCTACGAGTTATTTTTTAAAACGTCTTATCTTGAAGTACTTTTTGAGTTGTGCTGGTGTTCTTCCAATATAGCGAATTATATTGGCATTGTATAAAGAACTAATAATAGTCTCACCTTATGGAAGTTTCATTGGAGCGAAATGGACACTACCAATAGATGGCGCTAGTGAATTTGGATAAGTCGATAGTCGCTTGCAGTCGCTTGTTTTGAAGTGGGCGGAGTTGAGGGTCCAGCTGAAATTTTTGCGGATGACGGAGACCGGTGGGTTTCTATTTTTAGCTCTTAGATGAAATTTTATTCACTCGTGATTCATTGTTTTGACGGGTAGCAGTTATTGTGAATTAGTTGTGTTTATTTTTTATTACTGAATTATTTCACTGTTAATAAAGGACGAGTTCCCAACAAGAGTACACGATTTATATAAAAAAATTTAAATTATAGTATAAATAAGTTTTTGGAAAGTGTCAAAAATGTTTACCGAATTCAGTAAAAATTAAAATATTATAGCCATTAATAATTTTTGAATTTTCAACTTTAACATCCTCATAATCGTTTTATTTTTAATCGGAGAATCTTTAGTTGTACTGTCCCATTCTTAATTGATATATGTTATGATATAAATTAGTTAACAATTAATTATTGTTTTAAAATTAGAATTAAAAATGGTCTAGTTAACAAGTGCTTTTTGGGTCAAACTTTTTCTCCGCCTCCGAAAAATATGAACGATATGTCATTCGATTCGAAATAGCGTGTAGATGATTTTTATGTTCTATTGTGATTATTCTCAGGTGGTTCTTTACGGTTTTAAGTCCAAGCTAAAAAATCGTTTCTTTGAATAATATAACTTATACTAATTTTAAATGATTTTTTTAATTTCTTTATTATATTTAATATTATTTCTACTTTTTCTAACAATAATCAATTTAAGATATCTACTTTGATTGGGCCAAAATATTTAGTAGGGAAGTTTTTAATATTATATAAACATACTGTGTCCAAAAAAATATATAAATTTGACTAAATAGTAACCTTTATTTCTAAAAACAGGAGGAAAATGTTACTTGAAAAATGTATTTAGAATCAATATTTACCATTAAATCCCAGACCCGGACACAATTTTTTTTAGCAATACGGAAGAAGCAGGAGTGACATTTTTACAAATGAAATTAATTTCAACTAATTTATTTGAGATCATGTACAAGATTATTCATTATTAGACACCTTTTATAACCACTATTGCATATTCAAAAAAAGTTTAAATAAAAGTTTGCGAATATGACTTTTTTTTTAAATATACCATAAAAACACATTCGTATTCAGATTTCACGGAATACAACACAAATAAACTCTTTTAAATGGGATACCCTCTATGTTATTCAATTTACGGGATATATTCTTTTTCTATTTTCAAAAATGTATATTATTGATTATTTTTTTCGTATAACTTTTAACCAATTAGAACGTTCAATTTAGTTAAGTTACCTCGTATAATTTCGATAATACCTGATTATACATAGAGTAGCTCCACCAATCAAAAATATTTACAATAATTTCATTTCCGTAGTAACCACATCGACAACAATACACTAACTAACAGGGCCGTCAAATTTTGACGTTTATCAATAATTAATAATTGTAATTTTCATTGTACCAATATGTATTTAAATTAATAAATTGTTGATATTTACTTAATTTACTCAAAAAATAATCGTATCAAATACAATACGTACTTCAAAATAAATACGGTTATACATCTCAAACTTCCTGCATAATTA